TCCCCGGCGCGCCCTGGGCGGGGGCGCGGGCGCAGCGCCCGGGCAGGCAACTTCCCCTCCTGCCGCCTGTCGGGGAGCGGCATCCGCGCTGCTCCGCCCTGAGCCCTAGAAAAGTTTGGCTCTTTGGGTGCCATCTCCACATCTCAGCGTTTTTGGAGGTGGCTTTCCTCCCTGGCTGGTTAGGGGCCTCCCCGTGGTGCTCTGCAAGGTCACTGGGCCACGCTCCTGGCTCCCCAGGCCCTCAGAAAGGCTGTGGCATTGTTTCTGGGGACGCCCTCCCCCAATCTGCGCCTAGTCAGCGGAGAGGCCCCACCCCCAGAGACTGCACGCTGACCTGCGCCGCCCCAGCTGCCTGCCGGCTCTAGGTGCGCCTGGCCCTCGGAGAGAGTCTTCGCATTGCAGTCCTGGGAGGCTGCCGGGTGGTGCAGTGATCCAAGAGGGCCGGGCTTGGGCACAGAAAAGGCTGCAGCCACATTGACAAGCCCTACCAGCTGGCCTGGGGACTCAGGAGTGTTGATTGGGGCGCTCCCACCTGCAGTACAGCCGCAGCCTTCAGATTTGGGGTTTGCTTGCCCATGGTCCTTGTGGCCGCGCAGGTCTGCCTTCTGTGCAGACTCGTGCCCAGCCGGTTCTGGCCACAGATTGACCGAATGACCAGTGTCAGAAGAGGGCCAGGGAAGTGGGCCTGAGGCATTCGAACCCTGCAGGGCTCCACCGGACTGGGGGGTGGTCTGGGCTTTGAGAGGTGATGCTGCTGATGGCTGTTTTTGTTCTCTATCTATATGCTGAATTAGCCTCCTGTCTTCTTAATGGAGCCCCAACGGCATGTTAGTTAGAGACCCAGCCTGGGAGCAAACAAAGATGGACAGTTGGTATCCACCGGTGGCCCAGAGCTTTGGAAACCCTGTGGGCTTCCCCGCTCTGGCCCTGGAGTCGAAACTGACTTGACAGTGGGCTTGCTGTGTGTTTTGTATTTTCCCTCAAGCCTCTTTCAGAAATGGCCGTTTTGTCTTTTTTAGGAGAACCTGTTTACGGGGCAGTCAAAGATCTATACCTACATGAGCCCCAACAAATGCTCCGGAGTTCGGACCCCGCTTCAGGAAGAGAACTCAGTTGCACATCACGAAGTCAAATGCCAGGAGAAGCCATTAACCGGAATCTTCCGGAAACGAGAAGGTAGGCTACTCCCGTGACCTCTTCTGACCTGACCTCAGGGGGTCATAGCAGAAACCTCGCTTCTCCGCCAGCCCCAAAATGATAACACATGGACGTTATGACATAGAGACCCCGGTGGTGCGGGTTGTTAAAGTGCTGGACTGCTGACCGAAATGTTGCCAGTTCGAATTCACCAGTCATTCCAGAGCACGAAAACGAGGCAGCCTGCTTCTGGAACGATCAACAGCCTTGAAAGCTGTTCCAGCCTGTCCCACAGGATCGCTGTGAGCCACAACCACCGGGACAGGATTTTGGTGGGGTTGACACTTGGGGCTGAATGGTGGGCGGTTCAAGTCCAGCCAGGATACCTTGGGCTTATGTAAGACCTGGTGATCTGCTTAGAAAGCAACCCTCCGGGAGTCTGAGGGGCATCAGTTTCACTCTTAAGCACGTGGGGTCCTTGTGAGGCCCTGCAGACTTAGCATCTGGTGGTTTTCTTACACATGTCTCTGGTTTTTCCTCTTTGAGCCATGCTCAGAAAAACACACGGGGAAAGGGTGACGTGCCCCAGGGTGTGTACTCTCTTGGCCAAGACCTGTAAGCTCCGTTCTCTAGACACGTTGCAAAAGTCAAGGGCCTGCCCCTTGTTAATAAAGAGACTTCCCTGAGCTACAAGTGCACTAACTGAGCGGCGTGTGGCAGAGCCCGTTGACAGCAGCCAGCCGGCCTGAGGTGTGAGCGTGGGGCTGAGCTTCCTTCCCAGGTCAGAGCCAGCCCTACCCCGATTCCCAAGGGCCTTTCTGCTCAAGTGTTCGAGCCGCTTCTCCGAAGCTGCTTTCTCTGACACTGGGATTTGGACTTAAAAATCTCAAACAAGAAAAGGTACAGCTGTTGAAGATTCTGTCTAACCATTGCGATAAAAGTTCAATTGTAAAAAGTTCCTAAAATCCCAGTCGTATTTCTTTTTAAAAAAAAAAATACGTGATTTGGGTGAAGGTTGACAGAACACGTTGGCTTTCCAGCCGGCCCTTCTTACACCATGTGTGACGTTGGTTATAGTCCCCTGCGGTGGAGCAGCACTCTTCCTGCCCTGTTCCTATGTTTCTACTTTCCATTTGTCATCCTTTCCTCCCCCTTTCTGCCTTCTGAGCTTTGTCCCTGGGCAGATGGCCAAGAAGTCCCGCGTTTTGATTTCATGTGGTTGGTTGATCGAAGTGGTGTTCACTGCCTGTTTGTTACTTGGCTAAAAGGTAAGCCATGGGAGTGAGACCAGTTCTAGGCCTGAAGGGTGCCCCAGGGCCACAGCCCCTGGGAGTCCACCCAGTGTCTTATCACACCAGTAAGACTGGCTTCATTCCACCTTTTGCTCCTGTTTGCTCTGGGAGCTGCTACGGCGATTTCCTCCCTTCTTCCCGGAGCAGTCGGCAGTGGTAACCCAGCACCATCGAACTCTGGTCTGAGTCGTGCAGGTCGAAGCTCTCGTAATCTGTTAGTCCTTTGCACAGATTATCTCCACGAGTCTTGGATTTCCCTCTCTCCTTTTTGCTCCAGATGGGGGGAGAATCCTGGGTGCACCTTAGCTGGTCTTCCATCCATGGCTTCCTCTGTGAGGAGGTGACTTCCTACTTCATGATGCTCCCTTCTTAATGACAGCTGGCCTTAAAGAAGCAGTCTCTGGCTGCTGGCAGCTTTGTGAGAGAAAGCTGGGGGGGTCGTAGATTCATTTGGAGAACGTTGTTGTTTGCCAGTGACTCGGATTCGACTCAGCTGCCCCTCCAGCGGGTTTTCAGAGGCAGTTAAATTGCACAGGAAGAGGTTGCCCATCTTCTTTCCACGGGGCAGCTGATAGATTCGAACCACATACCTTTGGATTGGCAGTGCAGCTCCTTCCCACCAGGGCACCACAGGCCCTTTACAGAATCTTTCTGCTATTTACAGAATGATAACGGTGATTGGTTAGCCTGTATTCTGTGAATGATCTGAGAATTAGGGGTGGGGAGCCCTGGACCAGGCAGGAGCTTGATTTCCCCGCAAGGCACAGAATGGTATTTCAGTGAGTCGTCAAAAGATTTGGGTTGGATCCCAGCCCCTGCTCCTTTACGGTAGACAGCAGGAACCTTGGCTCCTGCACTAAGTGAAAGGTTGGCAGTTCAAGTTCACCCCAAGGTGCACTGGTGGAAAGGCTGGGTGATCTGCTTCAGCCGCTGGCAACCCAGCAGAGCTTGGCTCTCCCCTGACACGGGAAGCTTCTGGAAGGAGTCAGCCTCTCCGAAGCAGCAGGTGACTTCAGGTGGGTCAATGATCTTTCCTGAGTCTCTGTTTTCTTACCTGTAAGCTGGGAGAGTAAGGAGTCTAACCTCTGAAGAGCGGTTAGAGCTTAGAATAGGTGACCTCACCTGTTGTAGGTGCCCAGTGGGGAGCTCTGCATCCTGTTCGCCTGTGTACCTGCAACGCGTGGCTCGGCGCCTGGTGGGGAGGGACACTCTGTCACTGCCACTCGGCCGGGTCCCTGTCCTCTTTGGAGCGGGCAGGGTGCTGGTCCTGGAGCCTGGGCAGCTCACACACCTGTCATTTGTCACTGAGTCAGACCTGGGCTCCTCGAGGTTCTGTCTCAGGGCTGTGACCTTTCAGAAGCATGTTCCCAGGCCTGTTCCCTCTGGGTGTTTTTGAACTGACAGCCTTTCCTCTTGTAGTTTGCACCATCCAGGGACATTTGACTCATGGTGTGTCTAAATGCCAAGGGTTGGAATTTAGAGGGACCCTGGTGGCCACATGGTTAAAGCATCTGGCCGATCACCCAAAGGTCAGGAGTTGCAACCTGCCAGCTGCCCCCTGGGAGAAAGACGGAGCAGTTCTGCTGTGTCCTGCAGGGTCACTGTGGGGCGGGTGGCACTGGATCTGACTGTGGGATGGGTGGCAGTGGACTTGACTGTGGGGCGGGTGGCGGTGGAACTGACTGTGGGGCGGGAGGAGGTGGATCTGACTGTGGGGCGGGAGGAGGTGGATCTGACTGTGGGGCGGGAGGAGGTGGAACTGACTGTGGGGCGGGTGGCGGTGGATCTGACTGTGGGGCGGGTGGCGGTGGACTTGACTGGCATAGCCCTTGAGGTCTGAGGGTGCCCTCTGTTCTGTGTTATCCCCTCATCAAGCAGTTCAGCTACTGTAACCATCCCGCCCTCTACAATGTACAGGTCTGTGGTGTTTGGTCTGGGCAGCCATCACCGCTACCTAGCTAAACGTTTTCATCACCCCAGAGGGAGACCCTGTCACACCTCACTCCCTCCTGGCCACTCGCCCAGCTCCCTGCTTCCTGGCCCCCTCAGTGGTGTCAGCCACGTACCCCGTGACATTCTGGGTGTGGCCCTCTGGAGAGAAGCGGCCGGCCAGTTCCAGTGTGTGCCCAGGCCGCGGGATTTCAGTCACTGGGTGTTTGGGTTCCCGCCTCAGGCTGCTGTGAACGGGGTCTGTACAAGGTGGGTGTGGGTTTGTTTACTTCTCTCGGGCACTTAACCCAGTAGCAGAATGTCAGGGGTTCCAGGGCTCCCACGTTCATGCCCTGGTGGTGCAGTGTGTAGAGTATCGGGATATTAACTAGTATCTGTCAGTAAGTCAGAGAGAGAGCGACACACACACAAGCAATCTCCTCGCCTACAGCTGTCCTATTTGTCATAACCCCGTGAAGGGTCTCTGGAACCCGGAGGCAGCAGTGCAGTGCGATTTGACATTAAGGGAACTCTGACTTTTTGAGGGGGGAGCTGAAGGGTCGCTGGAACCCGGAGGCAGCAGTGCGGTGCGATTTGACATTAAGGGAACTCTGGCCTTCCGAGGGGGGAGCTGTGCTGGCCAGCTGTTCACCACAGCAGCCTCACCCTTTCACATGGCCTGTCAGACCTGCTATTTGTTTATTTGTTTCTACAAAGTTAATCTTTTATGTTCATAAATAACGACATACCACCCACATGGAGTGTTTGCAACTGTTCTGTTAGAAATGGTGTTTTAGAGCCAGTCCATAGCAGGGCCTCAACACTGCCTCAGTCCCAGATCCAGAGGGGACAGTGTTTTGCATGCTCACCAGGCCCCCTGTCCAGGAACTCAGCTTCTGCCCAGGATCTGCAGCCCAGTTCCAGGAAGTTCTCCCAGCCAGAGGTGCTCCTGCTCCGAGACTTGCTCTCTAAGACACAGATCCCAAAAGCAAGGGCTCCCAGATGAGAATTGTAGAAGATCTTAGTGTGAGAGAAAAATGTGGAGCAAAACTCAAAATCAGAAAAAAGACCTGATTTACCAGTTGGGCAGAGGCAGGTGGACCCCCTCAAGATGGCCCTAGGGCATCCTCTATGGTTGGACTGAAATCACACTCATGACTCAGGGCTCTGCCAAACAACAGATTGACTGATAAAGTAAAAAACAGCCCCAGGAAGGGCCACATTCCTTAGAATAATCAGCCACCCAGAAGGCAGGAGAGGAGAAATGGAAAAGGGAAGCATCTGGAGGGAATGGGGAGAGTGCTGTTACACTGTGGCAGTTGGTGTTATTGTCACCCAGTGTTGTGTATGAACTATTAACTAGGAAACCATACCGCCCAAACCATAGTAAAAAGTTATTTTAAAGATATAGGTAGGTGTGACTCCCACAGCCACCACAGTGGGCGCTGGGCTCCCCAGGAACTCCCACTTCTCTAGGCCTGAGCAACAGAGAACACAGAATGACGCTGTGTCCCCCTCCCTGCTCTGCAGAGAAGAGAAATGCTGGGAATGCCGTCCGGAGCCCCGTGAAGGCCGAGGGACAGATCCGAGATGCCAGGAGAGGCCCCCTCACCCCTTTTCCAAACCAAAAATCTGAAGCAGCAGAACCTCCAAAAACCCCAACCTCCTCCAGTGATGCTGCCAATGCAGCTGCCACCAAGCCCACCCCGAAGAAGCCCGTCAAGGGCAAGCAGACCCCACGGAAAAAGTAAGTGACCCTCGAGCCGTGCTGACACAGGGAGGGCATCACCAGCCAGGCCGTTGTCGACAGCTTAGCTCCCAAGTTCCAGAGCCTCCCCTCCCAGCACGAGTGGACAGTCTCTGGGATCCCATGGGAGTGGGGGAGCCCTGGCAGCACCATGAATAAACGCATTCAGCAGCTAACCAAGATTAGCGGTTTGAACCCCCCAGCCCCTCTAAAATGATGAGTCAGCCGTGGAAGCCGTGTGGGGCGCTTCTACTCTGTCCTGCCGGTCACTGTGAGTTGTGGAGGACTCAGTGGTTGGAGGGTGGAGCTTCCTGAAGCAATGGAGCCTCCGTGACCAGCAGGCCCCAGTGGACAAAGGTGCTTAGGTGACCTCACCTGCTCCGAGCCTCCTGATAAGGAACGAGCATGGCTGGTGACAGCGGATTTCTGTACTAAAGCCTATGTGCTCTTCTCTCCCCACCCCAGAGCTCAAGGGAAAACGCAACAGAATCGCAAACTCACTGACTTCTACCCCGTCCGAAGGAGCTCCAGGAAGAGCAAAGCTGAGCTGCAGGTACCGCCCTGGGGGCTCACTGTGTGCGTGGTGAGCATGGACACAGCAAATTAGATCCTGCTGAGCAAATTGTGTAGATGGGGCCTCGTGATGTTACCTTTCACACAGTGTGTCCACATCCTTGTTAGTGTCATTCTGCTGGTTCTGTTTTCACTAATCTAGTCTCCCTTCCTCTGCTTTAGAGTATAAGTTTAACTTTCTGACGCCATGTGGTTCGTGGTTTACGGGACCATAGTTTTCACAGGTGCTCATTTGTTTATGAGCTGATCAGTTAACTTGGCTAAACAGTGTCTTCCCGGATTGGCTACAGATCCACATTTAAAGGTTACCTTAGGGTAATCGTTTCAACAGTTCTAATGTTGTTAGTCTGATTAAGTCTCGATTTTCAGGAATTTGAGTTTTGTTCTGCAGTTTCTGCCCTTTCTATTCCAGAGCACCTATTACGCCCCTGGTTAGAGTGGTAGTAGCCAGGCACCATTTGAGTTCTTCCAGTTTCTGGTTAGGTGAGGCTGTGACTGTGTGTAGACTCACATACGTCGTCTTACTGCCAGCTCCTCGAGGAGCAGGGCAGCCCACTGAACACACCTGACGAATGAGATTCAACGTATGCTGCGTCGTCCTGGGTCAGGTTCTTTTGCCTGTCTGACCCTCATTTTCCTCCACAGACGACCGGAGTCATTGTCAGGGCTACTCTGGCACCCTGTTGGGTCACCATGAGCTTGACCAAGGCCCCGGGGAGGGACTTTGTAACCCTCCTTCCTCAGAGGAGGTGGTTTTGTAGCATTGAAGAAGTGGGTGCCGGCATGAGGAAAAGGTTTGAAACACAAGAACCACCACAACGTGACCCAGGCACGAATGTGCTCCAGGGCATGTGGTCAGTGACTCAACGAAAGGTTGCTGTAAACCTTTCATTTGTCAAAAACGCCGTGCCCGGGAAGCACTGTAAAGTGAGGTGTGCCTGCAGGTGCATTCATTAATGCAGGTAGACCCTCGCTTGGCACGTGGACAGCCCCAGTTAGCTCTCTTACCCGCATTGCGTCTCTGTGTTCCCACCCACCTCCTCTCCTCAGGGATAGGGATATGAAGGCAAATGGAGAATGCAGGCAGTAAACCAGCTGCCCTGGGTCCGCCTCCTCTGCTTGTTTGTCTACGGTTGCACAGCGATTCTTTAAAGGCCTGGGGAGCAAGGATGTCAGTTTAAAGACTAAGGTGCATATTTCCAGTTCCTTGTGTGCATCTGAAAGTTGGACAGTGGATAATTGTGGTGTTGGCAGAGCAGCACGCACGTACTGTGGACTGCCAGAAGCAGCCTGCCTTGGCAGAAGTGCAAGGACGGCGCTCCTTAGAGGCAGAGCCCCTCCTCTCACACACTGTGGGCGTGCTGTCAGGAAGGGCCAGTCCTTGGACGAAGATGCATTTGGTTGGCAAGGGAGAGGGTCAGTGAAAGACAGGAAGACTCAACAGTGACGGCAGTGTTGGGTTTTGGCATGGCAGGAGGATGAGGAAGACAGGCGAGGGCCAGGTTCTGAGCTGTCGTTCATGGGGTTCCTTGATTCTTCTGTGTCGCCGGAGGACAGAGTACAACTGTCCATTGGGGTTTCCAAGGCTGCCATCTTTACAGGGCAGACGGCCTCATCCTTCTCCTTTGAAGCTCCTAGGGGTTCAAACCTCCCACCTTTCCGTGTAGCTGCTCAGCTCTTAACCACCTGTGCCACCCGGCTGCTAGGCATATTTGTCGGTTTCAGTGGCATGTGTGACGTCTAATCAGAACCGGCTCACACCTTAGCTCACCCTCCAGCAGGTTTTCAGAGACTGCACATTGCACGGGAGGAGATGGCCCATCTTTCTCCCCTGGAACAGCTGGTGGATTCAAACTGTGAACCTTTGGACTGGCAGCACAGCACAGCTCCTTACTCCATAGAGCACGAGAGCTCCCATTTCGACTGTAGGCGCTTGGTGTTTGATGCAAAGGCTCCCGCTGCACTCCCACGCAGGGACTTCTGCTGACTGCCTCCCCCACCGAAAGGTGGGGGGACTCGTGCTTTGCAATCCTGAGCATTCCAACCGTGTGTCGATGCAGGGGTCTGGGAGTCAGTCTTTTAATTAATGAAGGTCCTTCCCCGGCCCCACTGTGCCTCCCGGCAAGGAGGAACCTGGGCTTTATTTATTTGCTGCAGAGGCTCTGTCTGTGGGCCAAGAACAAGCTGTTGGAAAACGCTTGCCTGCAGCAGGAGGTGGCACTGCAGAAGGGCGAGGCCAGGGCTTGGCCGCAGGGCCCCCCCCAGCCTCCTCCAGCCTGCGTGGGTGTCCTGGGCTTGGAGAGCCACCCCGTGGGGTCCAGGGCCCTGTGCAGCCGAGTTCACCTTTTGAGTAGAAAGTAAGGGGCTTGTCCTTCTGCAAGACAAGTACTGGGGGGAGGGGTGTCCCCGGTGCCTGTGCTCTGTCTCAGGGCCTCCCCTCTGCGTCTGAACTGGCTGAGTGGATCGATGACGGGCTGCTGGGTGGCCGAGGGGGTGGTCAAGTGCAAGCACTGCTGGGCAGGGGACAGGTGGTTAGATGAGGTATTGGTCACAAGGGGACAGTTGGCCAGATGAGGAGTGTTTTGCCATTAGCGACCTGTTGGTTAGACGAGAAGGGACTATTGATCGTGAGGGGGACTATTGGTCAGATGAAGGACCGTCAGCGAGGAGGGGATTGGTGGTCGCGCTCAGGGTGGTTACGCGGGTGAGGGATTGGTGGTCAGATGAGGGAACCTGGGCGGCGAGGGGTTTTTGAAGAGAGCTGTGATAAGGGCGTTGGTCCAGGGTTGGTGTGGGCCGTAGGGGAGATGACTGGTGGTGAGGAGGGTGGTCAGGTGGTCAGCTGCCTGGGTTGGTGTGGGCCGTGAGGGGGCGGTTGTTGGTCAGACGTGAGGGGTTTCAGTCCGATGAGGGAGTTACTAATCGTTCGAGGGCTTGTTGGTCAGTCAAGGGCGCTGTTACCAGATGAAGGGGGTTAATCAGAGCTCGTGGGGAGGACTGGTCAGAGCAAAGAAAGGGTGATCAGTCAGCAGTGAGGACTGGTCAGAGCGGACACGGGGGAAATCGGTCAGGTGGTGAGCTGGCTGGAGCCGGTCATGGCAGCCAGGCAGCTGTTGGTCAGGGTGTGGATTCTGCTGACGGCCACACTGCAGCCAGAGGGCGGGACGGCTGGGCTTCGTTAGAGTGAGCTCAGTGCTGACATGTCTGTCCTTCTGGGTTGCCAGGAGCTGGGCCTGGGCTGGGTGCCAGGGTGGGCAGGGCCCATGAGATGGGTGTGGGCAGCCAGGGAGGAAACTGGAATAAAAAGCTGTACAGGCACCCCTTGTGAAGACGGGGTCCAGGGCCAGAGGGCTGGAGCAGGCCGCAGACTTCCACCCCGGGTGGGACCTGGGGAGATGCCCTGGGCCCCCTGGAGCTTTGCTGTCCGCCAGAGCCCCTGAGGGAAGTCCAAGTCCTTGGCCTGGCCCTGGGGCTCACCCCTCCTCCAATGGCAGGCCCACTCTCACCCCCAAGTCCTCTGCCAGCCCTCCTGCTTCTCCCACCACGCTGCACACACAGAGTTAGACACCCTGTTTGTACACTTCAAACTGTCCAGCCGCTGAAGTTCTGTTTCCTGTGTGTGCCATGAGCCTTCTATGTGCAGTGAAGCCTTAGATGTGGAAAGTACAAGGTCTTTTTGTGAGTTGTGTGTTGCTGTTCCAAGATGTCACAGTGTCCTGGACACTGTTGGGGGCCCGGAGTGTCCACTGCAAACAAAATCAGGACTCCCAACCCCCAGACCTCGCAGATGCTGCGGGTTCCAGAACAGACCAGAGTCAATCGATTCGCACACCTCCCTGAGTTTCCTGGTGCAGATGAAACTACGCTGACGTCAGACTGAAGTCTCTGGGTGAAACACTCTGAAGTATCTCAAGAGTGCGCAGAATGGAAGAGGAGGCACTGAACGAGCACGTCATTGGGAAGCTGACGCCTGTCAGCCCGCCCGCTTCAGGGCTGATGGAGACCTTCGTTCAGATTGTTTGAAGAATGCAGTCCCTGAAGCACGGTCGCGTAAGGTCTCCCTGTACCTTCTTAGCAGGGCTGATTAGCACCAAAGGGTGACCAAGCAGAAGATAAGGGCACACACCTCACTGTTCTAAGAAACGGCTGACCCGGCTGAGTGGCCAGGCTGAGGCCGCCTGGAGACAGTAGTTAGGGCAGATCTCTCCAAAGAGGTGGCCTTTGAGCAAAGAGGTGGGGAGCCATGTCGGGGGGCTGGAGGAAGAGCATGGGGACTCCAGGACAGGCCTGAGGCAGAGCCTGGCAGCTTGCAGACCTGGCCTGCGAGCCCCTGTATTATGTCAGGATGAGGGTGCAGATCACGGTGGAAGGGGAGGCCTCAGCCCACGGAGCCCCTGTGGCCGCCCTTGGGTGTGTGGATTTTGAAATATTCCAGAACAGTTAGCCTGTCTTGGACAGGCACACCTCCGAGCTACCGGTTCGATTCCAGACACTGTGATGAAGCAAAGGTCACAGTAAACTGAGTCACGCAGAGTGTGTGGTGTCTTAGCGTAGAAAAGTTGGGTCTGCACCTGCTGTGGCCTGTGATGCGTCCCTGGTGGCAGGTAACGTGCAGGGCTGTTAACCTAAAGGTCACCGGTCTGGACCCACCAGCTGCTCTTCAGGACAAAGAGGGGCGCCCTCCTCCCGGAAAGATTCTCCACCTTGGAACCCCGGCTGACAGCTGCCAGGGTACGGAAACGAAGCAGTGCACACATACAACTCGTACACGGAATGTGTATCAGGAAAGAAGCATGAAATACTGGGGGGGGAGGAAGAGTTTGAAATCTCTCAAGAATGACCACTGTATGATAGAGTAACCAGAAAAGAGAGCGCACTGCAGGACATCGGAACTCGAGGTAGTCAGCGCACAGCTGCCACGAATCATAGCCTGGGTAAACCACAGTGACTGAGGTACAGTGAACCAGGGTGGGCCTGTACGTGGCTTTCACAGAGACCCTCAGCCAGCTCCCTTTCTCAGTGAAGATTCCATGGCTGCCATGGTAACTAGGGACCCAGCACCTTCCTGTCTGGTAAACGTGGAAATGACGCAGTCACCGTACAGCTTTCAGAGATTCGTGGGAACAGACCCAGGGCGAGGCAGACCCGGGGAGAGCCGGAGGGCCAGCAAGACGGTGGCTGCAGCTCTGTCCAGCCAGAGCAGGGCTGACCAGTGGCAGAGGGTCAGGAAGCTGCATGGTGTGCTCAGTGCTGCCCCTGCAGAGTCCGTGAGCCCGGCGTGGGGGCCTGGCCTTGCCCACCTCTCTGTCCCCAGCACCTGTCTCAGTTTGGCTTATCGCGGGTGTCCAGAGATAGACCCCGTGGCTGGGGAAATCCGAGGGGCCGCAGGCTGGCTCTGTGCTGGTGTCCCGGTGGTCATCATGGACCGAGGCTGCCGGTTTGCTGGATGTTGGCGCAGGCTTCTCTCTACTGGTCATCAGTTGATGTTTGTGTGTCCTTTGCATTGGCTGTAATCTTTATATCTTTCTAGGATTTGGATGCCAGGCGTAGTATTTGTCACAGTGCCTCTTGATTGGTTCAAATGCCAGGTTTTCGGCCACCAATCACAGGCGTTTCCGTCTGCCTTGCTCCATCTCTTTTTGCTCCCTCATATCCTGTCCATCTGACCGAGCAGCACAAGTGGGTCCGGAGTCAGGGATGGAGGGAGTGAAGGGGACCGGGGTCGCCCCCTCCTCCCTGGGCCTCCCTGCAGGGCTGAGGCCTTTCCGTGGCGGTAACCTCCTAGAGGTTACCTAGGTCTCCTACACAGAGCCATCCATAGTGGCTGGCCTCTTGGGGCAACATAGGCCCCCATCTGTGGGGAGTGGACTCTCGTCATCCTGGCCAATGGAGCGCTCAGATTCCTGATTTTCAGATGTCAGCAATCTAAATGCTTTCAAAACCCTCTGTGAGACAAGTAAGGGCCTTTCCTGGCGCAGTGGTTAAAGCACTCAACTGCTAAATTGAAAGGTGGGTAGTTCAAACCCACCAGCTGCTCGGAGGAGAAGGGTGGAAAATAGACTTTCTGCTTCTGATTAAGCCTTTGAAACCCCTGGGGAGTCGCGTTCTGTCCTGCAGGGTCCCTCTGGGTATAAGTCAGCTAACTCCAGCACAGGGGGTTGGGTTTCCTGATGGGGCAGACAGAGCAGAGCATGTATACCCATGAGCCAGGGTCTGCCCTGGGCATCACCGTGTCCCTCTGGTCCTCTTGGTACCCTGCTGACGGACTGTCCATCAAGTGGGACCTTGGGGAATCAGTGTCATGGAGGCCACCTGTGATCCACACCATGCCATGTGGGTCCCTCACTGGATCTAGACCCTTTTTTTTTAATTATTATTAAATTTTATTCGTTTTAGTGAACATTTACAGAGATTTTGGGTTTTCATTATTCATTGTTGCACTGTTTTCTCTACCCTCCTCCCCAGTTTGTTCTTCTCCCCCCCCCCGAATGTCTGTTTTAATTGTCCAATTGCCACAGTGCTTGTCGAAGCCAGTTCTGATTAATCTCCTTTGTCAGTGTGTCCTTTGCCATTCCCTGTCTCTCCTCCCTGAGAGAGACTTCACCCTGATTCATAAGGAAAAGGGGATGGCATATTCTCTTAGCTACTTCCTGCTGAAAAGGGACGCTGTAGGTTTCAGGGTGAAGATCTTCTCTCACTACTCTAAAGGGCCCCTTTGGCAGTAGGAAACACATAGACTGTTATGGAGATTGATTGTGGAATTTAGATTCACTGTTATCAGTTGTGCTTAGCCATACATGTTCATATCCTTGAAGATGTATCATGGAAGTGTTGCAGCCTAGAAGACACAAATTTAACTAAGAAGTTAAAAGTACATGAGTCAAAAATTAAAAAGCAATAATATTCCGAGTAGAGGTTCTAATAGTGGCACAAATCAAGTTACAGAGGGAAGGTGGTTCTTACAATAAAAGGCCTATAGACTAGCACTTTGTCTGTTATAGTGTAGAGGTTAGGAACCACAAGATGTAGAGGCTCAGCTATGTCATTTATGGTTCTTAAGTCCTGGAGCAAATTCCATCTACCACTGGGTTGTTTTACAACTCGGAAGTTCGAATGCAAGGTAGAGGTAAAGTAAGGAACTGCTTATGTGGTTTTCCATCCATTCCAGCAACTAAGAAATAGAAGAGTTGGGACCTCAGAAGGCTTTTAGGACCAATTAGTAGGCTCTGTGTCCAGAAGAAAATGAATATACTTACCAGTAATGTTAATGCTCACCCACAACTCTTCTGGGAGGGTCTAAATCGTTGAAGCGGGATCTAGACCCTTGATCCAGGAGGCCACTTCCCCAGCACGAGCCCAGGAGAGACGCTGACACCCCTTTTTTCTCCCCAGTCTGAAGAGCGGAAAAGAATCGATGAGCTGATTGAAAGCGGGAAGGAGGAAGGAATGAAGGTAAGGAGCCACACACACCCCTCACTCCAGGCCAAGGCCACAAGCCCGCGGCCGCTCGGGTTCAGGAGCGGAGCCCGGAGCCATGTGCAGCCAGCATCCACTTTAACCTTCAGCAGCCACCAACTGGTTAGCCTTGGCCAGCCCGTCAGCGGGCCTTAAACTAAAACAGAGATTAAAGAAACATAAACAGGCTTCGTTTGTGAGGTGCTAACTTGGTGAAAAATTTTTTTAAAAAATGGTAAAGTTCTTTGGAGATATTTAACGTTTCTTTCCAGACCGCCCCAGTGAAGCAAGTGTGGTGATGAAGTGAGACAGGGATTTTCTGTTTGTTTTCTGGTGGAAAACACACAGACGTTATACGGACACTCATCTGAAAAGTTCGAGAATTGCCAGAACGTGACCCAGGGACACACAGTGAGCGCATGGTGCTGGGAAAAAATGGTGCCTACAGGCTTGCTTGAAGAAGGGTTGCCCCAATCCTTCAGCTTGTAAATAAAGAAAGGAAAGTGCAGTAAAACAGGGTCTGGACAAATAACATGAAATGTCCCTGTTTCAAACCATTTTTAAAAAGCAAAGTCTAGAGCTCTGGTGGCAAGAAACTGCACGGCAATCCCAGAGGTGTGCACTTCACATCCACCAGATGCTCTGCTGAAGAAGGAGGGACAATCTCCTCCTGTACCAGTCAGATCTGATTTGACAGTACATGCACAAAAAAATAATAAAAATAAACATTTTTAAAAAGCATATTCTGATGGTATTATGTGCATTCAGACCTGTTGCTAAAGTCACCTAGACCTAGTTCCAGAAGCTTCTGACTCCCCCAGCGGAAACCCTGTAAGCATCGCTCAGCTCCCATCCCCAGCCAGCTCCTGACAAGCACCGGGCGACTTTCCTTCTGTAGATTTGCCACCTCTGGACTTCTCACCTGAACAGAATCATTACCATATGTGGCCTTTTGTGCCTGGGAAGTGTTTGAAAGGAGATGCTGTTACATTTTTTCCTCTAAATTATGTTTGCCTTGGCAATGGCAGCCCCCAGAAGTTGACTTTTCACTTGGAGCACTTAAGACATGTTTGGGAAGCATGAGCGAGATGCAGCCCACGTCTGAATCGAGTCCTGCGCATGGTGGCCCTCAGGTGTCCAAGGCTGTAAGTCCTTACAGGAGGGGACTGTCCATCTTTCCCCGGCCTTTCTGTGGGCAGCACAACACAGTACAGCACCACCAGAGCTTCATGGGAGGCTCAGAAGAGGAGGAGAATTCTCCTCTGTGCTGGCCCACATGCACCTGGATTAGGATCACCAGCCACTATCCTGGGGACCCAGTCATCAACCCTCCAACTCCAAACATAGGGCCTTCCTGTCGATATAACAAAGACTCAACTTCCAAGTCGAGGCCTGATATTATAGTGTGGACTGCTAAGGAAAAGGTCAGCAGTTCAGATCTCTGCATTGTTCCCTGTGTGTCCCCAAGAAGTCAAATAAACCAAAATATTAATTATAGGAATACTTTGGAGATACCGCTGGTTCACTTCCATACCAGGCCAGAAAAATGGACTTTTTGACAAGCTAACGCTGAGAACACATTGTTTATTTGCCGCTGTATATAAAAGTTATGTTTGGGGAGCTCTGGTGGCCTAGTGGCAAGCAATTACCTCTTGTACCAGTCAGATCTGATTTGACGGTACACACACAAAAAATATTAAATTTTTAGGGGAGCTCTGGTGGCCTAGTGGCAAGGAGCTGCAACTACAATCCCAAAGGTTCATGGTTCGAATCCACCAGATGCTCTGCAAGGGAAGGAGGGACAGTCTCCTCCTGTACCAGTCAGATCTGATTTGACGGTACACGCACACAATTAAAAAAAAAATAAATTTTTTAAAACTCAAGACTTGGGGGGGAAAAAAGTTATGTTTACATTCTACTGTTGTCTCTAAAGGAGGTCTGGTGGCATAGTGATAAGGAATTGTGCTGCCAGCATAAAGGTATGGGGTTCAAATCCACCAGCTTCTCCCCAGGAGAAAGGTGGACAGTCTCCTCCTGTGTGATTTACAGCCTCTGAAAACCCGCTGGAGAGTCAGCTATGAGTCGCTTTCGACTCAATAGTACACAACAACAACATAGTCAGAGGAACCCTGGTGGCATAGTGGATGACATGTTAGACTGCTAACTAGAAGGCATGTGGTTCAAATCCACCCATTGCTGCACGGGAGAAAGATGGGCCATCTCCTCTCATGAACCTGCGGCCTCGGAAACCGGGTGGAGAGTCGCAGGGAGTCCGAGTCGACTCGACTACCCGGGGGTGGGTTTGTTATTAAGTTTATTAAGGCTGTACACTGAGAAAGTGTGAAATACGATGAGAATGACCAAGTCTGGGCCCAGAGACAGCAAGTGAGCAGGTGCGACTGGCAAAAACAGCACCAGCAGTTTGTCCACGGCAAGATTGCCACGGGCTGTCAGTTTGTAAGAAAGGCCCTACACGGGAGCTCTGGTGGCAAGGAGCTGCACTGCAATCCCATAGGTACACGGTTGGAATCCACCAGATGCTCTCCTGGAGAAGGAGGGACAATCTCCTCCTGTACCAGTCAGAACCAATTTGACAGTACACGCACAAAAATATAATAAAATTAAAAAATATAAAGAATAAAAAAAGGCCATAAAGTGAAGCTCAATGCAAGACATGTGCCTGTACGTGGATTTGAGACTCCACTGCTCCTCTGTTTCATGTCACCTCATACAGGTGACCGCCCTCAGAACCCTCAGTCTCTCCATCTGTGGAATGGGTCAGCACTAGCCGGGCCCCCCCTCGAAGCTCCCGCTCAGGCACTGCTTTGTAGAATGGCACGGGGGCACATTTTAGGGTGCTAGAAAGCATCCCAAAGCCATGCCCGTGAGGCTGGGTGTACAGCTGCATCCACAGACTCTGGTCCACCCAGCTGCCCCTCTAGAGTGAGCGAACCATGTCAAAGAAAGCGAGGCAAACCCTGGGCACCAGGCAATGTGCCAGGCGGCGTCCACTGCTGCTCTGACCGCCCGTTCTCCTCCTTTCCCCGCAGATTGACCTCATCGATGGCAAAGGCCGGGGCGTGATCGCCACGAAGCAGTTCTCGCGGGGCGAGTTCGTGGTGGAGTACCACGGGGACCTCATAGAGATCACCGACGCCAGGAAGCGGGAGGCACTGTACGCACAAGACCCCTCCACGGGCTGCTACATGTACTACTTCCAGTATCTGAGCAAAACCTACTGGTAAGCCCACCGCCAGCGCCTCAGGGCATCCCTGCTAACAGCAGTGCGCGCTTAGCTGCTCACGACAAGCTTGGCGGTTCAAGGCCACTCGTGGCTCTGTGGGAGAGTGAGGAGGCACTCTGCTCCCGTAAAGATTTACAGGCTTAAAAACCAAACAGGGCGGTTCGACACAGTCCCCGCCCGCAGTGTCGCTTCAGCTCAGAATCATCTCCACAGCAGTGGGTTTGGGGTTTTTCTGAAGCAGAAAAGGGAACTCGGGAGCCCTACCGTTTCAAGAAACAAGAAGAGCTTAGTTACCCGAGGAAGGAGCGGACTTTGGGCCAGCTCGGGGGGTTGCCAGTCTTTTTTCTGAAGCTCTTCCATTCTTAATACCCGGGCCTGGAGCTGCCCTGGACAGCCTCTCATTTGACAAGAGAAGCTTCAGGGTCCTCTGCTCACCTGCAAACTCAGGAACCCACCTGCCATTCCTCTCTGCCCCCAGAGGAGCTGGTTTTCCATTTGGTTCTTTATTAGCAAAACTCTAACGTTGCCTTGGAGACCCTGGGAGGCACAGGCAGTCATCACGCACAGCTGCTAACCGCAGAGGTTGGTAGTTCGGGTCCCCCCAGTGATGCCCTAGGAGGAAGCACTGGAGATGTGCTTGTGAAAAGCCAGCTGTTGAAATCCCCGTGTTGCACGGTCTCCTCTGGCACACGTGGGGCCACCTCGTGGCAGTGTTGACCTGATTGCAACAGGCTGGTTTTGGTGGTTGCTTTTTTAAAAAAAAAAAATTTAAAAAATCAGAAATCTCTCTCTCATGCTACTATATGCCAGCACCACCAAAAGTGGGTGGCTTTAACAAATTTATTCTTGTAAAGTTTAAGAGGCTAGATAGCCAAGTTCAGAGCATCAGCCCCAGGGGAAGGCGTTCTCTCTGTGTTGGCTCCGGGGTGGGCCCTTGACCCCTTCGGCCAGGAGTCTTTTGGACATTTCCACGTGCTCTGAGTCTTGGGGGTTCTCGGTACAGGGACCCTCTCAGCCCAAAGGTCCTGCTGTCTGGGCTTGTACTGAGGTCCTTCCCTCCTTTTGTCTCTTGTAAGATAAAGATGGTGTTGGCCACACCCCAGAGAAACTCCTCTCAGATGAGACTGGTCTACCTACCAGGAGACTAAGGTGCGCCTGATACAGGCATGGTCTTTGCAATCACTTGCTATGCGTCAGAGAGCTGGACAATGACTAGGGAGGATAGAAGGAGAACTGATGCCTTTGCGCTGTGGTGCTGGAGAAGAGTATTGAATATATCATGGACTGCCAAGAAAACAAACAGGTTTGTCCTAGAGAGGGTGAAACTGGCTGCTCCTTGGAGGCAAGGATTCTGAAGCTTCGTCTGACATACTTTGGACATGTTGCAAGGGAGGACAGGTCCTTAGAGAAGGGCGTCATGCTTGGGAGGGTGGAGGGGACAGTGCAGGAGAGGAAGACCCTTGAGAAGGTGGATTGATTCAGTGACTGGGGTAATGGGGTAGGTGTGTCGGAGATGGTGAGACTGGCACTGAATAGGGCAGAGTTTAAGGCTGTTGTACATAGGGTCACCAAGTTGCAGGCGACTTGACGGCACATAACAACCACCACCACCAGGTCCTGGCGGATCAGCCACCCTGACACACCATTCAAACCATGATACAAATCCTGTTCTAAACACCCTGTCTGGAGCCCCCTCAGGGCTTACAGAAATATCTTTTTTAGAATCACACTCCTCTCCGAGACATGAGGTTCTCATTCAGCATCTGCTTGGTCTGGAGACATGTTGGGACGGGTGCCTCTCTTCCTCGTAGTTCTTTGTGACTTTTAAAACTCTTTGTTGTGCTTGGAGTAAGTTTTAACAGCACAATTAACAGTTAACTTTTCCACTCCATTTTACGGCATCAGATACCATCCCAATAGGGAGCTCCGGTGACGTGATAGTAAGGAGTTGGACCGGCAGCCTAGTGGTTCATATCCACCAGCCGCTGCATGGGAGGGGGATGAGCAGTCTCCTCCTGGGCGATGTCCAGCCTCTGAAAACCTGCTGGAGGGTCAGCTATGAGTTCCGACTAGATGAAACTCAGCAACAGCCACAATCGAGTAGCACTTGACCCGTTTCCTCCCTGTGATCCTCCCTTCCACTCATCCTTTCCTAACCCCTCCTTGCCTTCTGAGCCTCCCCCCTGGTGTGAGCGTTCCCCTTACAAGGTGAAAGTTGATTTGGGCCCTCCTCTTCCTCCTGCAGCGTGGACGCCACACGGGAGACGAACCGCCTGGGGAGGCTCATCAACCACAGCAAGTGTGGGAACTGCCAGACCAAACTGCACGACATCGACGGCGTGCCTCACCTCATCCTCATCGCTTCCCGCGACATCGCGGCCGGGGAGGAGCTGCTGTACGACTATGGGGACCGGAGCAAGGCCTCCATCGAGGCCTACCCCTGGCTGAAGCATTAGCCCTGCGGCCCCCTCGCCGGACAGCGTGCCCCCAAAGGGAATCGCGTTTTCTTTTTTTTTCTTTCCCTTTTTCTTTTTCTCCTTTTTGTTTTTACAACACTTCAAAATCTTAGTGGATGACTTCAGATGTTTTTTAAAAGAAAAAGTATATTAAGATGCCTTTTCACTGTAGTATTTAAATATATCTGTTACAGGTTTCCAAGATGGGCTTGAACAGATGGCCTTATATTACCAAAACTTTTATATCCGACTTGTTTTTTGTACCTTTTTTGCATACAAGCCGAACGTTTGTGCTTCCCGCGCCCACGGGGTCCGAGACCCCGACGCAGGTTTTACAAGGAGAGAGGCAAGCACGGACGAGGGAGCCGGGCAGGTCTCCTGCCTCCGACCGAAGAGCCAGGACTTTCTTCCTCTGCACCCGCTCCCCGACGTCCGAGGACAGGTGGACACAGGAAGACGCTGCCACCCCCACCCCCCCCACGACAGCCCAGTCGGGATGTCGCCAAGCTCTTGTTTCCCCAGCGCCTGTCTGCAGACACGCGTTGAAGTGTATGAATATTTTTTAAAAGAGGTCTCGCAGTAAGCTAGTCTTCCCCTCTGCTTTCCTGAAAGCTTACTGACCCCGCGGCCCACGGAGCCGGGCCAGCAGGGACTCTTCTTCCAAAGGCTGCCGCTTTTCTTGGCACCTCGAAGCATCAGGGCAGGTAATCAGACCCAACGTGGGCACGGGTGGGGGGGCTGGTGCTGTCCGCTCCCCCACCCCGGCCAGGGCAGGTTTCTGGGAACTGGGTTAACTCTTTATAGAAATGTGAACACTGAATTTTATTTTAAAAAGAAAAAAAATTTAAAAAGATAAAAAATGAAAAAAACCACAGAAAACAACTTAAATGTACATAGGTCTTGAAATGAGTGGAAGTTGAAATGTTTTGCCTTTTTCTCTTTGTTTTTTTCTTCCTTTTTTTGGTTTATGGGTTTGCTTTGTGTGGGCAGGGGAGATAGTATGAGATGGTACTCTGTTCTAATCAAATTCTCAAGTTTTGTAGTGGGACCAGAAGTTACTTACCCAACAATCTCCCTTCCCTTTCCCCCTCCCCAACCCCAGCCACACTCCCCCGACCTGATCCAGCCTGGGGTGACGCCCCAGGTCTGCTGTCCAGGCTTTTCTGTAGGTCAGGGGCTTCCTACGAAGAAGCAGCCAGGAGCTGACCTGTGAGCCTACAAACCTGGAGATGGGGCCCTCCCACCACCACCACCAGCCTCAGAGGCCTGGCCACAGGTGTGCCGGGCACCAGGCAGTGCCCCCTGGCCCAGGTGAGGGCCTCAGCTAGGCTGTCACAACAGGAACATCAAGGGGCCTCCTATTCCTTCCCCTAACTCGTTCTCGTTCTCTCACTGAGTTGACCTTCAGTCCAGGGGCCCTGGGGTTCCCCCCACCAGCTCTGGTCCCAGGTAAATGTGAATGGAGACAGGTATGCCAGCCTGTCCTCATCCTTGACTCCCCAACCCCACCCCCAGGCCTCACGACGGTGCTAACTTAGAAAGTCTTCCCCCCAACCCCCGTCGTCCCGTCCCCCCCATCCCCCCCAGCGGTCAGCGGATCAGGGTCCCACAGCAGCAAGGAACCGGGAGATGAGTTGTCTGGGTTATACCTTGTTTGTGGTTTAGCTTTGTATTTAAAGGAAAAGAAATAAACTTGAAAATTATTTGTCACCCTAAAAGAAACAAAAAATTAAAATATTTATTGTCAGGCACGACCCTTGTGTGTCACTGTGTTCTTAGGAGGCTGAGGCGGGAGGAGGAGGAGGAGGAGGAGGGCGTTCTTACTGGACGTGCGCCAGGACAGGCTCCCCCCCAGCAGAGGCTGAGTGTGGTTAACATCCTCCTGGGGAGCCCGGGAGAAGGAGCCTTGGTGGTGGAATGTGTCAGACTGGTAACCAAAAGTTCAGGGGTTCTAATCCACCAGTGTTCTCAGAAGAAAGATGGGCAGTCTCAGAGACCCCACAGGGGGGAGTCACTGAGTTGAAAGTGAGTGGATTGATGATGGCTGTGGGTTTGGTTTGGGGAACCGGGAGATCTTGCTACCAGCCCTTGAAGTGGATTGAAGCCACGTGAAGTAGATTTCCTCGGTTTACTCATCTGTGTAATGGGAGTCTTGGAGGGGTTGTGGAAGGAGTGTGGTGGCACATAGGTTAAGCATTATGCTGCAATACAAAAGGTCAAGCAGTTCAACCCACCAGCCAACAAACAGAAAAATGGGGCTGTCAGCTTCCATGGAGACGACAGCAGCCTGAGAAGTGGGCAGTTGTCCTCTGCCCTAGAGGGTCACCAGGGGCTGAGGGGGGTGGCGAGACCCAGTGGCCAGACTTGGCAGTGCATGTGCACCTCTTTCTGGAAAGACAGACTGTTTAGAACCTGGATTGTGGAGTCTTGTTTATATCATTTTCTAGACGGAGATTTTGGGTTTCCTTGTGTGTATAATGAGAATAACACGCATGTCACAAAGCTCAACTTTGAATTTCGAGGTGAACACCAGGGAGGTGGACACTCCTTACAACAATCATACAAATGAGATCTCAAGCATTTGCCCAGGGATAAAGCTCAGAAGACAGGAAAGAATCAAAAGGACAGATGGAAATGGGAATCACAGGGAGGAAGTGGGAAGAGTGGTGATTAACAATGGAAGGATTGCCTTCAACATCAGGGCAAACCAAACTGTTGGTTGTAAAACCAATTTGCTCTGTAAAATTTAACCTAAATCATAATTTAAAATACACACACACACACACACACATCCCAATACTGAGTCAGTTCTTTACATTTCAGAGGCTGGAAATAGGGGACACTCGATTTTGCTCTCCCTCAGGTTCTGGTTGGTTTGAATTGCTGACTTCTCAGCAACCTAACACAGGACACCACCGGGCTCCTTTCTTTATGAGATTATAATGCAAATACCTGATGCTGATAATGGTGCTCAGTAAGGTAGGCAGAAAAGTACCCTGAACACTATCCCCCACAAATGTCTATGAAAATTATGTACTGGGGGAGAAAACTGCTCATGAACTCCAAAAGCATCAAGTGTGCATTATTTGATAGAATACAGTGGCATTATTACTCCTAGTAATATAAAGACCCAGCAGTGACAGTCCTGGGTTTGCAGAGTGCACAGCAATGCATGCCTTTCTGCCTCAGGGCTCTTGTGTGAGGGACTCGAACCCTATAAGTCTTCGCTGCTAAATTGATGAACAGACCTGGGGCCGGTCCCCATCCTACCGAGTTACTACGGAGAATCTGTGAGGAAGTCCATGGCGCACACAGCCATAGAACATTCTGGAAGCTAGTCTTTTTTTTTATTTTATTATTTTTGTGTGTGTGTACCGTCAAATCAGATCTGACTGGTACAGGAGGAGACTGTCCCTCCTTCCCCGGCAGAGCATCTGGTGGATTCGAACCATGCGCCTCTGGGATTGTAGTTGCAGCTCCTTACCACTAGGCCACCAGAGCTCCCCTTGGAAGCTAGTCTTTACTAAGAAAGGTTTCCAGAATGTGTTGAGGGTGCTCATTATTCCCCTGCAAAATGCAGCCACCCACTCTGCCCTTACTTCACGCAGGCCTAAATGCACATTACCTCACAGCTTCCCACTTGAAATCGGGTGAGCGTGTGGGCAGGGGAATCTAATCTGCAGCATTTTTCCTTTCGCATAGCGGCACGCAGAATCAAGCGTACAGAATGTGTAACACAGCAATCATCCTGACGCTGAGAGACCACTCTAAATCAGTTCCTGAGAGTAGGAAAGTCATTTAATACAAAAATCACATAAAGAAAACTACATAGGCAAAATGGAAGATTCATTAAATAACCAGTGAAGTCGGCATGGGACTGTCAATCAAAACCCAAGATCCCTGCACTGTTTGCTCTCTTTTTTGCTTTCAGCTGATGCCTTTGGCCACTTCATGTCAGAGGCCAAGGTCATCTGCTGGGCAGGATTAGTGGACACAGGTCAGCACCCCAGATACCCACTGGACGGGTGAAGTGGGAGGAGCAGTGGGTCTCTGCACTTCGCTCTTACTTTTTAGCCTTCTTAGGCCTTCATCATCTGCCCCGGCCACTGCTGCAGAGGGCATTCCAGTTCTATAGCCAGGAGAAAAGGGGCCCCAGGAGAACCTCAGTTCCTTCCTCTCCAGATTGCTTTGCAAACGGGCAGGCACTGTGTGTCCATGTGGCAAAGAGAGGTGGGCACTGGAAGCTTCTTGGTGGGTTGTCTTCTCAACTCTGACGGCTGCTGCAATGGTCATGACTTTTTCACCTCTGTCTACTTCCCTGACCGGAAGAAGAACCTGGGTGGAGAGAGAGGGGCTTGAGTGAGCAGAGGAACCTACGCCAGGAGTGTGGAAAATAGGTTAAGGTGCTTTTGCAACCAAACAACTCCAAATTGTGTGGAGGAGGAAAAAAAGAGTGAAGAAAGTCAAAGGTGTGTGCAAACAATGAGGCCAAAGGACCACTGGACCATGCTGACTTCAGGTTCCACAGCCCAGAGGCCAGAACTAGGTAGTGACCACTGATGACCACGGTTCACTCAGCAGCCAAGCAATAACCAGTGCACACTGACCATGACATATTCACATGGCGGCCTCACATGGTGACCAGTCCATGACCTGGGAGCTGACCACGTCATGCCAAGGAGTAGTCCTCTCATGTTCCCCACTGCCCTCGGATAAAGACACACGTGCCCCTTAGTACGACCTCCTCCTTCAGCTGGCCGTGCACTCACTCAGCCTTCATCCCACGACGCCAGCAAGCGTGACTCACAATTATCAAACACACGTCACATAGCACGGAACACGCACTTTCCTTTTCCCTTCTTCGTCTCAGACACCACTTCTGTGACCCAAAGTCCTCCTGGAGAAGGAGGCATTGAGAACAGTGGTTCGCAGCCCCTGGAAGTGGGAGCAGGCAGGCTTTTGTTCTCTCAGACACAGAGTGGCTGAGTCTGAACTGAGTGGACGGCTCTTGAACAACAACTTAGCCAGTGAGAGTCCTACATCCACACCACCAGATCCGGCATCGGTGAGGTGGGGCGCTCCTCCACACCTTCCCTGGGGAGACCTGCGAAAGGAACCCCCACTGACTCCACTTTGACCGAGTCGCCTACACACCCACAATCCTAACAGAAAGCCACCATGGTGCCTTCACCCAGAGATGGGCACACAGTACCCCAGTGCTATTAACAGCACTCAGAGGTCCTCTCCATGCCTGTCCCTGTCCCCTCGTGGACCTGCGTGTGAAGTTCCAGTATCTTTAATCTTGGAGAGATCTGTTGTTGTGCGTCGAGTTGGAAACAACTCACAGCCGACCCTCCAGCAGGTTTTCAGAAGCAGGAAATCACATGCGAGGAGACCTCCCATCCTTCTCCTGTAGAGCAGCTGGTGGATTCGAACCACATGCCTTTGGTATGGCAGTGCAGAGACTCAGCCTATTGCAAAAGGGAAGCAGACCACTGTGGGCCCCATGAATCCCGTGGTACTACACTCTGCAGGTGCAGTGAGCTAAGCTTTGGGCTGCAAACCAAAAGGTTGGTGGTTTGACTCCACAGCCGTTACGCAGGAGAACGAGAAAGCAGTCTGCTTCCTTTAACACCGGAGACCCTACAGGGTCGTTTTACTCTGAAACTATCTTGACAGCAGTGGGTTTTAGTGGATTTCTCTGTGTCCATGACACAAGACTCCCTGAGTAAACAGGCATGACAACATGACAACAAGCATGGCCTCGAACCGTCTACTTTTCAACTGACAGCCAGAGTTGAAAGGTAAAAGCTGTAGGATGAAATGGCTCCTGACAGCTGTTATTGTATAACCCCTGTCGGAGCTTTGCTGGTGCTCTGATTCAAGCCTCTGGCTGGGAACCTAAAGGTCAGTGGTTTGAACCCACGAGCCACTTTGCCGAAGACAGATGAGTTGTTCAGCTTCCATGAAGACTCGTCACCCTACGGGGCACTGAGTTGGTATCAACCTGAGAGCAGTGGCTTTTGGCGGGTCTGCTGCCTCAGAGGACACTCGGTGGTGTCGTCTATAGGGAGCTGAGCTGCCAACCCAAAGACAGAGCCCGCCTGGTGGTTCGAACGCACCAGCAGCTCGGCTGGAGAGAAGGGCAACCTCTTCCAAGCGATATGCAATCTGTGCAAACCTGCCGGAGGGTGAGCTGTGAGCAGGCCTGACGGGTCGGCTCTGAGGGTTGCCTTCCCGGGGAGGGTGACTTACAGCTTCCGGATAAGCGTCTTCTCCTCCTTGCTGTCACTCGCACTGTCTCTCCCTCCTGTGGGACCTTCTCTTGGTGGAATCAGACCACTGGCAAGAAAAAGAGCCAAATTAAAGGGGCTGTCTGATCGCACACTCTGGCGTGTGCAGGTCTAGGAGGAAATGAACCGTTAGGGCTGGGAGTCGGTGAAAAGGAGGAGGCTGCTTGAGGAGACGGACTGACACGAGAGTGGGTCAAACACGGGCTCAGCGGCTGCAGGGGGTCAACAGGGGCTCGTCCACGTACGTGGGTCACTGCGAGTCGGTGCCAACGTGACGGCATCACCAGCAACAACATAAAGTTCGGGGGTCCGGGAGGCAGAGAAACCAGGAACGTTATGACCCCCCCTTCCACCTTCCCACCTTTAAATCTCTTCTATCTTTCCCTCACAGAACTGCACTGCCTAGGACGTCTAACTCCCACCCTGTCTGGTATGTGACTCAGGATAAACTCGTAAACCTAAAAACCTTTGTTTCCTCATTTGTAAAATGAAGTTTTGTTGTTGTTGTTGTTGTTGTTGTTTTCCACAAAGTCAGGACCGACCCACAGCTGCCCCTCCGGCGGCTTTTCAGAGGCAGTTAATCTCACAGAAGGAGAATGCCCATCCTTCTCCCGCTGAGCAGCTGGGTGGCCTTGAACCACGTGCCTTCAGGATTGCAGCGCAGCTTCCTGCCACTAGGCCACCAAGTCAATTAAACGCAACTCACTCCTGTTAAGTCTGAACAACATCACACCGCCATCGGCTTGGAGAAAGGTAGACACAGTGCTCCTTGGAGGCGAGGATGGGGAAGCTTGATTTCACATATTCTGGACATGTTAGGAGAGGCTGTTTGTTCCTTGGAAGGAGACATCAGGCTTGGAAAGGTGGACGGTCAGTGAAAGGGAGGAAGATGCTCAGTGAGACAGACAGACAGAGTGACTGAAGCGACGGGCTCAATGTCAGAGACGACAAGGCCAGCAGAGGACAGGGCAGGGTGGACATCTGTTGTTCACAGGATTGTACTCGTCTCAGCAACATCTAACAACAGTAACAGTGATGGTGGTGAAATCCTGGGTCTAGGAAACCCACCAGACCACATCCACCACGTTCCACCAGTCAAAGCAAGTCACAGGGCCAGCCCGATACAAGGAGAGACCAAACAGTCATTTTTGACAGGAGGAGGAGAAAAAAGCCTCATTGCAGAAGGCAAGGCGGATGAGAGACGTCTCAGTGGCCACCTCTGCAAACCCCAAAAAGTGAGCCTGATCCAGCCAGTCTCCGCAACTACTCGCTATGCTTCAGAGAGCTTTACAAAGACAGAAGGAGAATTGATGCCATTGAGCTGTGGTGCTGGAGAAGAGTCTTGAACAAACCATGGACTGCTCTTGGAGAGGATAAAGCCAGGCTGCTCCTTGGAGGCAGGGATTCTGAAACTCCATTTCACATCCTCTGGACATGTTGTAAGGAGGGACCAGTCCTTGAAGAGGAACGTCAAGCTTGGGAGGATGGAGGGACAGTGCAGGAGAGGAAGACCCTCGATGAGATGGATTGATTCAGTGACTGGGGTAACGAGGGTGGGTGTGTCAGAGACAGTGAGATGGGCACAGAATAGAGCAGGGTTCAGAGCCGTTGTACATAGGGTCGCTATAAGTCACAGGTGACTCGACGGAACATAACAACAGTAACTAGTACAAACAGTCATTTGTATGAACTCGGACCTACCAAGTGGTCCAGCTGATAAGAGATTACCTCAGCTGGCATGCTGGTCTTGTAGGTAACACTGGACAGGACACAGAACCCTGCTGTCTTTCAGTGGGCCACAGGGCATCTGTCCTCTGGGAATTCATAATTGGACATAAAGTGTCTTGCTTTATTCATCGGCAGGTTGCTCTCAGCACCAACACATTAACAGCTCTTCTTTCAAGCCCCTTGAGTCGGATGTAAGGAGCCCTGTGGCGCAGGGGTTAAATGTTCACAGCCACCCACCAGGCCGCAGGAGAAAAGACCTGACAATCGGCTCCCATGAAGGTTACAGCCCAAGAATTTATTACGGAAGATCCAAAGAGCAGAACGCGCCCAGGGAGAAAGCTCCGAGGTCAGGATGGACAGAAATGAGAAACATCGGTTGGGTGAGGGAGGGATGCTGTGACAGTGTGGGCACGGTAGTGGGTGTGAATGACGGACTGGAGAGGAAATCAAGTCCTCTATAAACTGTCATGAAAAGTACAAGTTTTTAAAAAATACGTAGGGGTTCAATTCCCTTCGTGGTCAAAAAAAAAAAAAAACCCAAACCAAAAAACCTTATGTCTAGGAAACCCTCTGGGTCAGTTTTACTCTGTTCTAAAGGGTCACCTGGAGCTGGGATTGACTCAAAGCAATTATTCCATGAAATGCAGACAGGTCTTCCCATTAACATGGTTCTATCCTCAGCAGAAGGGAGAATGCCTGAATCCCTGCTGGCAAAGCTTGGCCCTTTTAGATAAGGCATCTTCTTAAAATAGTTCCACTGTATAGCTGCTCTCTTGAAGATGCTACACCTAAGAAATAACAGCAAGCATCTGATTCTTTTTTAAACCAGAGTGTGTCTCAGCTTGCAAACCTGCCACGTTCACCTGTGGCAAGCCAACCGAGAGCAAAGACACTGAGGTCAGGCCTGTGAGGTGAGGTCCCACGGTGGTCACCACTCACTGTGTGGCTTCAAGCAGGTGTCTGACCTCTCTAAGCCTCAGATCAGGGTAAGTTTAGAAAAACGAGAGTAAGATGTATCCAATGGGGGGGAGAAGATTTAAAAAAGGGGAAAAAATTAAAAAAGAGGTAAAAGTGTATTCAATGTCTTAACTATTGGAGAAAGAAGATAGATGGATGGATGGATGGATGGATGGATGGATGGATGGATGGAAGGATCAATGAAGAGCATGAATAGGAGGGACAGACAGACAACTGTAGACCTAAGCAAAGGGCTTATGAGGAACTATTGTAGTAATCTTGCAATGTCTTTGTAAGTCTGAGGTAATTCAAAAATTTAAAAGTTAAAGAAAATGACAAATTCACCAGAAGGAGGAACAATCTCCTCCTGTACCTGTCAGATCACACAAAATAACAATACATACACAAAATAACAAAATAAAAGTACACACACAAAGTAACAGTACACACACAAAATAACAAAATAAAAGTACACACACAAAGTAACAGTACACACACAAAATAACAAAATAAAAGTATACACACAAAATAACAAAATAAAATAAATAAAAAGAAAATGACAGAGATGTCTATGTGGAGAAGGGATGGTACAAAATAACAAAATAAAATAAATAAAAAGAAAATGACAGAGATGTCTATGTGGAGAAGGGATGGTAAGACAAGTAGGGAACTCCCAGGTTCACCAAGCTCACGGACTCCAGGGCCCTGGGATCACTCAGCAGGCTGGGGTCAGTAAGTGCCGGTCAGTGTGGTGTTCTCCCATCTCCTGGCCTCTCCTTCCTCTTCCCACAGGCCAACCTGCTCCATCTAACTCCAAGTGTCCCCGGATCTGACCACGCATGGGATAAAGAACACCCTTTTCCAAAAATACCTTTGTACACATCAGCGTTTTGGTGGAGGCAGATGGATGCCATGAATTCCAGGCCTGACCGTAACAAGCCCTCCTCCATGCGTCTCCCGGTTCCTCTCTTACTCGTCTCCCATCCATTCTCTTCACAGATGCACTCTCTTAATCTTTAATATTTTCAAACTTAGAGGAAAATTGCACGATTGGTTGTGTGTGTCCATCCATCCATCCATCTTCCATCTGTCCATTCTCCCATCTATCCATTCACCTGTCCACCCACCCACTCACCCTTTCTGAACAATCTACAAGCATGCTGGAAACAGCTTCTTTCTAAAGATTTCAATGTGTATTTCTCAAGAACAAGGACATTGGGATATTTCCAAACATAAACAAAGGAACACGGCTGTCAAAATCTCCACTCTGGTCTTTCAGAAAAGTGCATCGTGTTCTCTTTTTCTCTTGATTAAAACTCCAGTAGCTTCACAGTGACGTCACACAATAGTGAAGCCGGCCCCTTCTGGACCTCACTCTACCTTGAATTTTGGCATTCTGCCATATTTGTGCCTTGAACCAAGTTGGTTCCCACCTCAGGGCCTTTGTATCTTCTGCTTCGTTTCACCCCAACATCTTTACAAGGCTGCCTGCTTCCTGTCAATCACATCACAGGGGTCCTCCCTGACCCCCACTGCCACGGAGGCAAGTCTGCCTCAGCGACCCCCGCGCCCGGCGTCCCCTGCACTGCGCTCGGGCCAGGTTCCTGCCTCGTGTTCTGCAGAGCTGGCCCCACCATCGCCATGCCGGTAACGGCACTGTGTGGACTGCCGACCTCCACTGCTCCGTCCTCGACCTCCAGCAGGGGCTTCCTCTGTCCTGTCCACTGCTGTGCCCCTCCTCCCCCACACCCTGTGCCTGGCACACGGCGGGTCTTCAACGCACAGTGGAACGAACAGAGGGGCCCTGTGTCAGGGGGCACCGGTTGGTGGGCTCTGCGGCCGGGGCCCCACCTCTTGTAGCACTGCAGCTCCTCCTGCACCACCAGCAGCTGGGCCTTGAGCTTGTTGCGTTCCTGAAGCACGTCCCTCAGCTCCTGCAGCGTGAAGCGCGGCCGGTTGGGGTCCGTCAGGTCCACCACCATCTTGTCCGGGCCCAGGTTCACCTGCAAGAGAAGACATCACTCGCGTGGTTACACTTAACGTCAGGGTTTGAATGATATCTCCCCTCCGAATAGGTGTCAGCATGGCTGGGCCGTGATTCCCACAGGCGGTTAAAGGATGGCGCCATCCCCATCACGTGACCAGTCAATCAATGACACAGGACTAGGGTGAGATGCAGCTCCCCACCGCCATGCGGGTTTCCCGGGGTGTGGCCTGCATCTGACAAGCGAACAGAGGAAGAGAAACTTCAGTGCCACCAAGAAAGAAGAGCTGGGAGCAAACCGCATCTTGTGAGAAGTTTCTAGAGTCAGAAGACTGGTGCCAAGATACATGACGGTCTGCAAGGCATGCCAGGCCCACAGATACTGAGAGGAGACACGTGCCTTTCCTCTAGACACACGCCTTTCCTCTAGAACCGGACGGAGGAAGGCAGCCTTCCTCCAGAGCCAGCACTGGACTTGGGCCCCCTGCACTGTGGGAGAATACACTTGAAGTCCCTCTTGCGTGGTGACAGTGCTACGGCAGCACTTGTTAGCTAAAGCCTCGGGTGTGGACGGATTGCAAGGGAAGATCTGGTCCTGGTGCCCCCAGGGGCCCAGTAAAGGAGTCTGATCCTAACTCAAACGTTGGCGGTTCAAACCCAGGCTGTGTGACTTCAGGGTCGAGGCCTATTGATCTGCTTTTGTAAACAAAAGCCTCCTTCTAGGAGACCCAATGGGACTTCTGTCAGAATCAACTCAGGAGCATACAATAATGTTAGGCCCCGACAAGGGGGCCAGGAGGGAGAAGGAAGAATTCAAATGCTGATAAGAAGAGCAAATGGCCTTGCCTGCCAGCCTTGCCTGCCTAGCTGAACTAACCCGTGGACCGTAAATTAAAAAGCAGAATGTAACTCCCTTTCTTTCCTGAAGTCTCTGTTATAAAAACCCTCCCCAGTCCCCCAAGGCTGCGAATTCTCTGTTCTGCTTCTTCAGAATGGAGAATTTCACCCAGGAGCTCCCCTTGAATAAAAGTTATAACTCTAAACTTTATCTGTCCTTCGCTGACTGCTTTTAGGCTCACCGCTCAACAAATAACAGGGGTGAGAAGAGGAGGTGTTGCTGTGCCTAAAGCGTCTGGCTGCTACCAACCTAAAGGCTGGCAGTTCAAACCCACTCGTCCTTCCGTGGGAGAAAGATTAGGTGGCCTGCTTCTGTAACGATCTATAGCACTGGGCACCCTGAGGGACAATTCTACAGGGTCACCACGAATGAGATCCACTCAAAGGTAGTGGTTTTACCTGCTAGGAGTGTTATGTTGATGGTGAAGAATTAAAAGTAACTGTTAAAAGTTCAATTGTGGAGTTTTTCTTTTCAAGGAGAAGAGTAAATTGGAGGGAGGGGGTGGGCAGGGAGAAAAGTGCAACAATGAATGACTGGAAACCCTAAGTCTCTGTAAACTTTCATTAAAATTAATTTTTTTAAAAAAAAGTTCAATTGTGGCAGGAGCTCTGGTGGCCTAGTGGCAAGAAGCTGCACTGCAATCCCACAGGTTCGCGGTTTGAATCCACCAGATGCTCTGTTGGAGAGGAAGGGCAATCTCCTCCTGTACCAGTCAGATCTGATTTGACGGTACACACACACAAAAATAACAGAATAAAATAAAATTTAAAAAAAAAAGTTCAATTGTGTCCCCCTCCAAAGGATGTAGTGAAATCCTACCAAATGTGATCTCTTTGGAAACAGTATCTTGAGAGGTGTAACCATTGCAACAGATTTCAGGGGCAGTACAGCAGTAAGCCTGGCACTGGAATTGTTAGAAATAGGGGATAAGAGTGGGGGTACTTGTCTGACCTCAAGGGGATTGGTTTTGTAGATGTTGAGGGGGCAGGTCCCCCTGCAGACTTGGCAGACGTCAGATATGGCCGTTCTCACACTACCTGTGTTCTTTTTTACAACCTCCTTTGCCCAAGGACTCTGCTTCTTCCAGACTCTCCTCCAGCTGCCAAAGTGCCTATCATGGTTGGTTATTCATTGTTGCATGTGGTGAGAGCAATTGAAAAAGAAATACCTTTTGCTAGGAGGCTGGTTCAAGCAGAGTCTCAAAAAGATGTTCAGGCCTTAGCCCCCTTTAGTAAACCGACCTCTTTTGAGAACACTGTTCTTAAATGTATAAAGCGCAGTGCCTTGGCTTACACTGAAAGCAAACCAAACAGAACCCTTCTCTGCCACCAGAGCTCCGCCGACCCATGAAGACTGCAGGGCAGGGCAGAGCTGAGCCTCCGAGCTTCCACAGCTCTCATCCTGATGGAAGCAGACTGTCTCCTCCTTCTCCCACAGGGCAGCTGCTGGCTCTGAACCACCCACCTTTCGTTTGGTAGCAAACCATCTGCCCCACTCAGGGAATCTGCTATGAAAATGCTCGTGGTTTCTACTGGTGACTATCACAGGTCCTGCTAGTATCACTGTGGTGTGTCATCTACATTCATAAGGAAGAAAATGAGGACTCCCAACTGGAGATTAGTGAAAATAAAAATCTCATTTTTAAAAATTTTTTTTCCTAATTTTTATTATTTGTTTTGTGTGTACCGCCAAAATCAGATCTGACTGGTACGGGAGGAGATTGTCCCTCCTTCCCCAGCAGAGCATCTGGTGGGTTTGAACCGCGTACCTCTGGGATTGCGGGGCAGCTTCTTGCCGCTAGGCCAACAGAGCTGGCCAAAATCTCATTTTATGTGCACACATTATTCCACTTAAACGTAATTTTTCAGCAAATCACTTTCCTTTGGAGGCATGAACCCCAAGTTAATGAAGACAACTGGTAAAACTCTACAATGTAATGAATGTGCATTTCTGATTGATTTGAAAAGAAACAAAAGAAGGTGACTTCAAGAACAGGTCTCTGCAGGGCAGAGCTGGTGAGGACGGGTAAGTTTCAGGCTGTTGTTCATAGGGCTGCACCAGCCGAAGTCAACTGGACGGCACCTAACTACGCAGCAACCGCCCTGGAGTTTTTCAAAAGCCACGTTAAGAAAAACTAACACAATGGCTTTTTTCTAAGAAGATGGTGCCCAAAGTGAAGAAGGAAGCCCCTGTCCCTCCCAAAACTGAAGCCAAAGCAAAGGCATTAAAGGCCAAGAAGGCAGTGGTCCTGAAGGGCGTCCATAGCCACACACACAAAAAAAAAGATCCGCACGTCACGCACCTTCCGGCGGCCTCAGACGCTGAGACTCTGAAGGCAGCCCAAATACCCCTGGAAGAGCGCTCCCAGGAGAAACAAGCTTGACCACTATGCCATCATCAAGTTTCCCCTGACCACTGAGTCAGCTATGAAGAAGAAAGAAGATAACAACACACTTGTGTTCATTGTGGATGTCAAGGCCAATAAGCACCAGATTAAACAAGCTGTAAAGAAGCTCTATGACATTGATGTGACCAAGGTCAACACCTTGATCAAGTCTGATGGAGAGAAGAAGACCTGTGTTCAACTTGCTCCTGACTATGATGCTTCAGAAGTTGCCAACAAAATTGGGATCCTCTAAACTGAGTCCAGCTGGCTAATTCTAAATACAAATTTTTCTCACCATAAAAGAAAAGAAAAACTAACATGACTGAACAATGGCAACTCCACAAGTTTCTTCAAGTCAAATCATGTCCCCAAGTTAAGAGCAACTGATAAAACCACACATATGATGGCATTTTTCAGAAGCCACAACAAATGAGGACACACTCTCTCTATTCTAATTTCCAAGCTGTGTTAAATTAAAACCAGTACATGGCAGAGTGATGTAGGCGCTAGGCTATCTATCATTTGACGAAAACAAGTAAGAAAAATATGTTCATGTCGGCTTCTGTTTGCATAATGCATTTTTAGAAGAAGACACAAGAAGTACTTTTTATTTTCACCAGGGTGAGAAACTGGGTGGCTGGAGTTGATAGACATGGTATGAGAAATTGTTTAAATTGAGATTATATATTTAAAATTTATATCATGAATTTGATAGAGGACAGAGATTTTTAAAGGCAAAAAATTTTCGTACTTCGGGTATTTGGGGTTTTTTTCCCCAAGTGATATTTTGTTGTGCTTTAGGTAAGAGCTTACACAGCATATAGGTTCCCATTCAACAATTTCTACACAAATTGTTCAGTGACAACTTGTTACATTCTTCCAAATGCATAAACATTATTAATACTTCCACTTTGGTGCATTTGTTTCCATTTATCTAGTTTCCCTACTCCCTTGTATTTCTATCTTTGCTTTGAAGTCACTATTCACCCTTGTACCTTTTTACTTCATGTTGTTTATTGTGCTTTGGGTGAAACTTTATGGGGTGCAAAATTCGTTTCCATCCACCAATGTATACACCTCTTTCCTTGTGACATTAGATGCAGATCCCCTGTGGACCAGCACTCTTCCCACTTCTATCTTGTGTTCCCGGTTGCCACTTGTTCTTCTTCTGTGTCTTCTGAGCTTTGTCTCTAGGGAAACGTTGCTCTTTCAAGCTCAGATACTTGCTGGTCCTGAGAAGCACCTTCCTCACAGGTGTCACTGTTCACATTATAGGCCTGTCTGTACCTTTTGGAGTTTGAACATATTTTTTTTTTAAAAAAAAGAAAAGTACCAGGCCTATTTCTAGGAGCTGCTTACTGGCAGGATTCTCTCTGTCCCCTCTTCCTTCCCCCACTTCTTATTATAGATTGTGGTTTGGGAGAAAAATGTGCCATCTCATTGCTGCCTCATGAAATGGGTCTACCTTGCCTCACACAGGAAACACCCAGCTCCAGGGCACACGTCATCTGCAGGACCATCATGGGGTCCTAGGCTTTGTGCCTTGGGGTTCAGGAATGGGGAAACTGTCCAGACAAAGGTCTAAGTGATCCTGGATAAGCCATTTCATGTCAATTGAATCTGGTCATCGATTAAATTACGTTATCCCGAAATAAGCACAACTTGGCTAGCTCCTAATTTTCAGTATTACCCGATCATCCCATGTGCTATTCATCCTAACCTTCAGGATGTTAAT